CCCAAAGCACCTCAGAGTGCTTCTCCCCTGACTCCTTACTCTGTCTGAGACAGAGCAGCTAGGCAGAGCATCAACATAAGGTATAACAGCCTAATTATGTTGCCCAGGATTCAATCCTGAGTACATTTCTTCCACTGTACTCTCAGCTAATAGGGGAGGCAGATACCAAGCCTGGAGGCCTAGCACTTTCAACCAGGCTTGGAGAAAACCATTAATATGCCAACACCAGAAACTGTTAAAAAAAAAAAAAAAAAAAGAGTTGAAATCAACAGTAATCAACAACCCCATGACCAGTTACCTGAATAGATGATGCTTTATCAAAACTGAGTTCCCCAGTGCTGTAACTCCACTGACTTCATAGTTATGCCACTATACAGTCTAAGGCAGTGATTCTCAATCAGGGTGCCATAGCACCTTGGAGTGGCCTGTGATCCTTTTGGGGGTGCTGCAGAGTACCATGCAATGTTAGTGCTGTTAGGTATGCAAACATGATTCATGAGATAACTCCAAAGGGTGTGTCCTGACAAGCACACACATAGGGGTGCACATTTCCCATGGGACAAATAGCAGTGGCACATATTTGTCCAACCTGTTTCTGGCAGTGCACGCTGCTGCCATGTGCACTACACCACTTTTTTTAGTGGTCTTTTTTTCTGACACCAAGATATCCTGGTGTCAGAAAACCCTGCTGCACTGCAAATTAGCAATGCGACACATGGGTGCATGTATACTGTATATAGTTTGCAGCACCTCGAATGGGTTTGAGGCACCACAAACCACACATGCACACTCATCAGGATGCACCCAGAGATTTCAAATAGGAATCCATAGTGTTAAAAGCATTCTGACCTCTTGTGATTATTCTGAGTTGCTTGCAAAAGGAGAAATGTTTTTATTATTTTTCTATAGTAAAAAAAAACAACAATGGAAAATAAGAGCTGACATTTTCTGAAGGGTGCCTTGAGTCTAAAAAGGTTGAGGACCACTGACCTAAAATCTAGTTCTGCATTAATAGTTCAGATTATAATATGTGCATCTTTCCATAGTATGTATGTATAAATACATAGCATGGATATGTTAGAACACAAGCTAACAGAGTGAGAGAAAAAGTTTACCTTTCCTTAAAAGTTCTGACTGTATTGTATTTCTTCCATTCCTCATGTGCATGTTTTCTCTGTGCTCAGTCTGCTGCCTGTCTTTCTTTCTTTGCTTATCTTGACCTTTCAACTGCCGCCTCATCTTTTTGTTCAGAAGTGACTGAATTGTTGTAATATCCAGACTTATGTTTGAGGCACCTAATTCTTCATTAGTTCCAAACAGTTTTTGAAAAATCTGTAGATGTTCCTCAAATCTCTGCTTGGAGGTTGCTAAGTCTGCTCTGAGCATCTCCATGGAAATATTAAGTGGTTCCACCAGACTTACCACCGTACAATTGCAGCAGTAATTCCTACCATCCATCCATGACTCATGCTTCTTGATCTCCCTGCTTAGGTGTTTGATATCATTTTTTAGATTCATGATATCATTATATGCTGGACTATCCAAAATGTCATCCTTGGCAGCCTCATAGTTGGGTTCCAAATGTTCTACATTGCCATGTTGGCTATCAACTTCCTCCAAAGTGTTCTTGATGTGCTTTCCATTGGTAGGATGCCTAGACGAGGAGTTCTGAGCATCATGGTTACTCTCATGATTCATCTCCAGGAAATGAAGCTTCTTTATAAGGAATTCTAAAGTCATATTTTGCTCTTTGAGCTTATCTGAGTTATGGCTGAGAGCTTCTTGCAGCTGAGCTACTGGTGATATTAGAGTTGTAGGGTCTTCTTCAGACAAGATGTCCATAATTTCCTCTCCCAACAAAGCTTCTAATGCAGTTTCATGCCTCATTGCATCTTCCAAAAGAGAGTTGAAAGAACTATTGAGATACTTGATGTGGCCATGAATTTTCTCATCTCTCTTACTTAAGGACTGGACTTGTGACTCGATCTGAACCATACTATCCATCAGTTGTCTGCTTTTTTCCTGCTGAAAATTAAGAGATTCATGGATAGATAGAAAAGCAGGGGAGAGCTCAATTTCACTTCTCAAGAGTTCCAAAAAATATGTCTGTAATTGCTTTGTGTCCATTAAGTCTAACTGAGTACCATTAAGGGGATAAGAGATGTTTTTTTGAACATCTTCCAGCCTGTCAATGTCAGAAGATATTTTCTGGCATTTACATTCTTTCATATACTTTAACAGATCCCAATAGCTTTCTTGAAGATTTGAGAGCGTGTAGTTGAGCTCCAGTATCTGCCTTTCTAGTGCTTCTTTGTTTTCTTTTATAATAAGTGATTTCTCCATTAAGGAAACTGTAACATCCTCTGCTGCATGTTTAATGTCATCTTTCAACTGATTAATCCATTTTTCTAAAACAGTAATATCCTCAAAGACCACATCTGAGTCCATGTAAAGTTCTTTGAGCTGCTTTGCATGCCCCATCAAGGTCTCATTTAGTTGCTTAATGGAGAGCTGTAGAGTGTCATCTTTAGGGCCATAGTATAAAGAAAGTTCTGTTAAGTTTCTATTCAAAGCCTCAGTATCTCCTTCCAGTTTTTCTTGCTCTTGTTTCAAGTCTGTCATGCTGTTATTCAAAGCTAGCAAATGGGACTGCTGTATCTTATGGTATCTCTTGAACTTCATGTCAGCATCTGCCTTGATCATGGTTAGATTGTAGTGAATGGCTGCCTGCTGCAGGTGTAGGTGATTGTCTATATCCCTTTTCAACTGTTCTACTTTCACAACGTTTTCTTGAACTTTTGATTCAAACTTAGTTCCCAGTTCCTGGAACTCTCTCTTGGGCACAGTACTTTCCTGGAATCTCTCTATGCTTTTTTTGTTAGCCTCCACACCCTGGGACAGGTTTCTCACCATGGTAGAAAGATTCAGTAAGCTTTTATTGAAACTTGACCACATGGGCGTAAAATGTTCCTTTAGAAAATTCTCCACATAAGGAAGCAGCATTTGCTGAAGAAGCCGTTCATGTACTTCTGTAACAAAACATTAAACTGTAAAAAGTAAAATGTTAGGAAAAAGATCCCTACCTAAAACTAAAATGGAATATATAAATAATGTATTTGGAAAGCATTTTAGCAGTCTGACCAGATACTATCAGGTCACTGACTAAACAATCTGCCACGCAAACCTCCATCTTATTTCCCAAAAGTTAAGCTTTCCTTTAAAGTAAGAATTAAGCTTCTAAACATTTTGACAGCAAAAACAATCTGATTTTAAATTGAACATCTCTGTAGGAATAGTCTTCCTGAGTCTTCAGACAGTTTGAAACAACATCTCTGAGAAGGATGAACTGGAAGAGTGATACCTTTGAAACCTAGGCCCCTGGTGGATGTTCAGATAATGGAGCAACTGACTATGCTGAATTTTGTGTCCCATCTCAAATGCTGTAGGATGAAGGATGTGCCAGCCTACATGCAGACTGCAGGACAGGGCCAACACATTTGCAGCCTGGGTTTGGAATCAGGTGCTACAATCATCTGATTTGTCAGGGTTGGGGATAGGCCAGCCTCCTGTCTGGGACAAATGCTACATATTTAAGGTGCCACACAAACTAGCCACAAAAATGTTCTACATTACATATAGAACTTCTTTGTGTTTGGTTTGCCATTTTATGGTGCCTTGAATTGGCTGAGCATGCGGTATTTTGCAATTTACTGTATGATTAAGAATTTAACTACATCATAAACATGACATCTGTCAAGGCCCATAAGGCCATCAATTTTATAGCCATTTTAGCAAAAGCCACCATCTAGTGAAAGATTATCTTGCAATTCTATAATGCTTTCGCCTCTGATATATACCACATAACTTTGTGTGCTGAACATAAAATTCTACAGAGCACTGAAATCAGAAAATTAGGGCCAGCATAAAATAAATGAAAAACTTTTTTTCCCCTGCAATTGTACCCTCAAGCATGTTGTGCTCTTCCACATGGGTTCTCCTAAATCAAAAGCAGCTTAACTGCATACATATGGTACTGTAGCCAGGCTAATTAGTCCTTCTGGAGCACCAGACAGATATGGCTATACTGCTTCCTTCTCAAAGCAACACAGCATGCAGGAAGGTGCCACATAGTGGAACAATAGGTTCACCATATGTATATACCAGATCTATAAGGTATCTGAAATTCTCACAATACTTAAAGGTAATCAACTCAGAGGTTGATCTATTTCATTGAGGAACCAAGGTTGAAGAACCCAGGGTTCGCTAGTTAGGAGGTCCAGTTCAGCAGTTATATGCATGCAACTGATTATAGGCTGATTTGAAGGGTGTGAATGGTTGTGTGATGTAACATTAATCAGCCTGGCATTCAGCATAGTGTAGTGTGTTCAAGAACCCCAAAAAAGGGAGAAAGGCAGAAGGTACAACGACAATCTCTCCCCCCCCTAAAAACTGCTAATAAGGTGAAAATAAGCAGGCAGCTTTACCTTATATTGTGTATTACAAATTGCTTTACCTGCCAAGCCCTTTGGCAGAATCTCATTAACTTGAACTTACTACAAGTGAGAAAATTCTGAATCAAACTGCCCTGCAGCTGACACCCATGACCCACCACACGCTCCCCTTATATGTCAGAGTAAAGAGTTTGTCTCAGTAACTTCCTAAGTAGGTGCACCCACATCCATGGCTAAATTGAACTCTGTCTAAGAACTGAACAGTTCTCAGAGAGTAGTGGGTTCAAGGTCATGTTTCCTTTCTGGGGGAGAGGGGGGATGAATCTACAACACTGGTACTCCAGGGGCAATCTTCTCACCTGTTTTATTCTGGTCTGCTTCCAATGCCATGGCAGTAATGTTGTTCTCAAATATCCTCTGCAAGTCCCCTAAGTTGCTGATTGTTTGATGAATATCATTCTGAAGGTCCTCCAGCATTGCTTCATGATTCTGATTTGTTTGCATGATTTCTTCTGACTCCACTGTCGACACTAATATCAGGATTAAGGAAAACATCATTGTCATGCAGTATTTAGTAAACTACAATATGGAAACAAATGTTCTACAAAACAGTGCAATGTCTGTAGCTTGTGAGTTACTCTGTGCAGTGAAAATTCTCTAATGTACGTATTTGCCTGGTAGACCACAGGTGCCAGGTACTAGGCTAAATGTTGATTTCCTTGCTCACTGATGAAAGATATTCTTCACAACTGAGCTATCCAGTGCCTCTATATTGAGCATTGACATATTAACAGAAGAGTTACAGCTTTTTGGTGACCTCAGAAGCTGATGAAAACCAATGTAGCGCCACTGGTTTCAATGTGGGTACTTTGGTGAAGGCTTTCCCTATGCCATAAATGTCTTTTGATGTTTTAGTGTTTTCAAGCTTCAGGGAAGTCTGGGGAAATCTGTCTTACATAAAATCATATCCCATTTATCTGCACCTTCATTCAAAAGTCTGAAAGCTGCATTCTGGAACAGGAATGGACTTACACAATATATACATACATGAAGTTAAAGAGCTATCAGGTACTCCATACACTGTATTCTAAAATCAGGCCATATGGTTAGTCACCTACCCATGATAGGTGGGCCAAGAAGTAGGTACCCAATTTTGAAAAATATGGCATCTTTTGGAAAGCCTGACAGGATTCTGAGTTAAACATACAAGCTCACAAACAATAACTCTCCCATGTTTAAGGTTTGGGAAACAGCTTATACAGATAAGTCTCTCTTCTCCCATTGTAATTTGTGGAGTTGTTACCCTGGTAGTGCCTATTAACAGAGGGCTATACACATGTAAACTTTCTTCTGTAAGAAGGAAAGGATTTCCCAAAGCAAACGGATTTACTAGATACAGATATTGTCCATAGCATATCATAGCATACAGCACCAGAAAAATCCTTCCCCTCGTATTTACATCTGAGTTTTTTGTGAAGTTAAAAGAGATAAAAATCAATCACGGAAGTAGATTAAGAAACATACTTTGAGTTGAGAATTCTTCATCTCTTTCCAGTCCTCCTGTCTGATTGGCTGGTACTGGAACAAAATTAGGATCTGCAATTGAAATGTGAGATATTGTACATTAATGGCAAGGCTCGCTTTCCAGTCTTTTCTGACTTAATTTGGACAAGTCAACTACCTTATGTAATGCCAAAGTGGCTTCTTCCCATTTTATATCTGGGGAAGTGTCAGTCCTCATTATACCGTCACAAGACAGTCAATTATGTATTTCAATTGTTCATGCATTGAGAAGCAAAACCTAGAGCTGTGGTTTTCAACTAGGGCTGTGCAGAGCAGGT